AAATGTGAAACATTGAATTTAAACTCAATGGTCTTAAGGTTGTGACTGTTCTATTTTCAAATCAGAGTCGATTGGTGTTTGATTGTTACTGAAGAGTTCTAAACCAGAGCGAAACATCTGTTCAGGTGCTTCCTGGTTTTTAGTAGTTCTTCAGCCAATAATTGCAGTTCATTATTAAAACTAGATGCCAGAATTTTTGAGAACACTAAAACTTAGGGCATCAGTTTACGTTAAAAATACATATGTATTTGATTAAAATGATGTAGTAGTAGATAGAGTGACGAAATGAAATTAGTCAGCTTGTCCATTTTATTTGACGCTTATGAATTTATAAAACGGTTCCATTTCATTATTAAAAGAAAAAAGGAATATCGGAACCAACCAAAAGTTGATTGATGAATTATTCCCGTTGAGCTATTGATTATAAAAGCAGTAGTTGATCGGAAGTCTTTATCTAAATTGATGATAACTACTTTCTCAGTATAACTTTATGTCAAGATTTGAACTTAACAAACATGAGGCTGGTTATGACATAGTTAATGATATTTAAAAATTAATTATTAACTAAATAATTCGAAAATGGAGATGAATAAGGGTAACTATGGTACGCAAAGGTTGGATTTAACAAAAAATATGTTGGAGCTGACCATTATAGAATTAATAGAGCTGTATACAACAGATGTATATACATACACTAGACAGTAGACTGAATTACGTGTAAAACAATCCAGAATGCTTAAACTAGGTTACTTCAGTTTCCAGTACAGTAGTTATGGAGTAAATGATTGTCTTTATTTTTCCTTTCCCTATGGTATAATTATTGATTCTCAGAAATTCAATAATACCCTTGTCTAATTATCGCTATATAAACTTATTAGTTTATGTGGTGATATCGAAAATAGTAAATTATTTCTTTATATTTAATTATACTTGTCACTGAACAACTTAAAAAGATAACGGATATATTCGTGAGACAAGCTAGACCAAGAGGCTAAAGGGTGTTAAGTTCACCATGGTCGGTAGATGACCAGCAAGTAACTGAAGTGATCTGGTGACCGGAAAATTATGCATAGAAATCTTATATTCAACAAACAGATGGTTTGATATCATGAATTCGTTTCTTTTTAAGTTCAAGCACGTTATTACGACTAGTGTTTTTATTATTTGCTACATATCTTAACATCTACATAGGTAAGTGAGAATAATTTAATTCAAGTTCATTACCTTAGTCATAATTGAAAATTTGATTCTAACAATGTTTACTACGTAGCTCAATGTTGGTGCTTTAAATCTTCACAACAATATTCGTTCAGTAAATCTAAAAACTAAAGTTATAAGACATTATTTCACAAAGTTTTAACAAATCAATCTTATCCCTTCAAAAATATTCTTCATTTCTGGTAGTACATATGTTTCATACCAATTTCTATCATCTAAAATAATCCTAGAAACACTAGGATGTCTGCTTTTATGTAGTTGCATGTTTTGTCATCTACACCTTCTCTGCATAATCAACGGTGTGTGAAAATTTCAAACTTCTACAGTAGAAACGAATATCAGGAGGTTAAACCCAGTGTGAGTAGAGAGGTTAATCTATTACGATGAATGAGTAACTAGCTACAAAATTTAAAGAAAGCTACCGTTGAATGTATAAAGTGAACAAAATTTTATCAAACCTAAGTGTTGTGCTTTTACAACTGAAGAGCATCTGAAACTCAAAACAACTGTCAATCAACACCAAGGTCAGAATTTTCAACACAAACGTCAAAACAGTTCAACTGTATGAGACGGAAACTTGGAGAACTACGAAAGCCATCATCCACAAGATGCAAGTGTTTATTAACAGTTGTCTACGCAAAATACTTCCGATCCGTTGGCCAGACACTACCAGCAACAATCTACCGTGGAAGAGAACAAACCAGATCTCAGCGGAGGAAGAAATCAGGGAGAAACGCTGCAAGTGGATAGGACACACATTGAGGAAAGTACCTAACTGTGTCACAAGGCAAGCCCCCACTTGGAATCCTCAATGGTAAAGGAGGGGAGGAAGACCAAAGAACACAGTACGCCGAGAAATGGAGACAGATATGAGAAAAATAAACAAAAATTGGATGGAACTGGAAAGGAAGGCCCAGGACAGAGTGGGATGGAGAATGCTGGTCGGCGGCCTATGCTCCATTGGGAGTATCAGGCGTAAGTAAATGTTGTGCTAAAATTATATGTACAGACAATTGTCTGAAATCTATTTAATTATCAATAATCGTGACAGTAAATCAGGAATTAGAAAGTATTAAAGATTGTAAATATTTTGGTAATTTTGTTAACACAAGAGCTTGAATGCTATCCTGAACATAAATCTTTACAACCCTCATCGAAACGTTTTCTTTAAAGTTAGAACACTTTTATTTTATCAGTTGGTTAAAAACTCAAGTCACATTGATGATTTATGATTTTCGCCAGAATGTAAACCTTCCATTTGAAACTACTGTTTTGACAATATTATTTTTACAGCTTAGCATACAACCAATGAATCCAAATAAATAGTCTACTATTATTAAACATATGGTCAATCTGTACATCAACTGGACTGTAGATTAAGCTGAAACATTTACCATTGTGTAATGCATAAATATATCACTGAGCATTGACAGTATAAATTTTCGTAATGTTCAGAAATATACCAATCGGATGCAATTTTCATTTCGCTAATAATTCGTTCATTTAAACCATTATTGATTATTATTATTATTATTATTATTATTATTATTATTATTATTATTATTATTATTATTATTATTATTATTATTATTGTACTTGAACTTTTATTCACGTACTTTCACATTTATCAACTACAAATTGTGGTCACAAGACCTTATATAATTAATTTTGAAATATGAAGTAATGGAGAATGCTACCCTTGATAAATATCCCGGGTACATATTTCAATGTATATTCTTAGTTAATATTGCATACTCTCCAGTAATCATTAATAGTTAAATCATATTAGACCGTCGTATAATTTTATACTGTAAATCATCAAAATTGTCTGACTATAGTGAAGTCCATAACTGACTACAGAAATTGTATTCGAAAGTAACGATAAGGTTATTAACTTGATGAGAACTGAAACTAACTGAATCAGAGATCATTCTTATATTCAGTTAAATATATTCTAGATAACCTATAGTGATGAGTCAAGTAGAAAAAGCGTAATTAAGAATGAGTCACTTTTAATGTGATGGATGTGACACATAAACGGTAATTTTTGTAATTTCCATTTAATCAAGTACAAATCCTTTCATTAATTATATAATTATAACTTTTACAGAGGTTTATCAGTTACATTCATAATCTGAAAGAAGGTAAAGTATTTACAAGTGTGATAGTAAAGTGAGATATAAAGTGGATAGTTCCTAGGCTTACAAAACAATTAATACACAACCAGTACTGTGTATTTACTAAGCTTTTCAAAGGTTGTTTTAAGACCAGGTATTTTCACAAGACACTTATATTTACATGTCATATGGTTGAAAATTATCGATAAGGCGCTGTAGGCACACATTGAGTGCACTCGTTAATTAGTGGGATCCATCTACAGTCTTTATGGAGATGAAATTCTCCATGGGATTTGAATACTCGTCACACAGTGTCACAGTTAGAGACATTAACACTAAACGGTTTGAGTTGTGACTGAAATTCATCAGAATTCAAATATGTACACTGACTAATTACTGAGAAGTAACTACAGTCATAATTTTTTTGACCTTAGTGTTGATTAAACTCCACCTATCAAATCATACTATTTACATGTCTGTATGTTGTAGGTATAACTTGCTGGAAATTGTTAACTAGCATGAAATTTAAATAACACGTTTAATGCCGATTTCCTTCAATCATATAACACAAAAACATACTGTAGACATGGTGTCCAGCTAGTTTGACTAGTGGTTTTTATTACAACTTTACTGAAAGAATTCAATCAACTCTAAGGATTTCGACAAATATGACATTAGTTACTATTCTGTAATCAATTAGTGTATCATTGTCATTCACCTAGATAACTATTTCAGATTTTTTAATGACGTTTACCTATAAATAGCTCAAAGTACTAGTGAATATATGTTTTTAGTTTTGTTTTAAAACGTCGACAAATGAAGAAATAATAGATGACGTCCTTTAAAGAATAATTACGTATGTAAATACAACTGGAATAATAAAGTTTAGAAAAATGACTAAAGGTTAAACCTATCATCAGTATATTGTAGGTCATATATATCAGTTAATCTGAAACTTATTACAAGTTGTTCTAAGCCTTTTTAAGTAAACCAGAACAATAGTTGAAGAGTTTATAGATAAATGCATTATATTATTTTAACTAAACTAAATCCTCTACTGTTTGGTAGAAGTAAAACAAGGTGATTAATGTGCAGAAATATGAAATGGTAATTTCCCGACTGTTACATTCTTACCTTTTGATATACAAGATACTTCTGAAGTTTGCAATCGTAATATTATGTTATCTTCCAAAACGTTTATAACCTTTCATATTACTCAGTTGGAACCTACTTTTAAATAAATGAGTATATTCATTAATAGTGTAGTGGAATCAATTCACAAGATTGTTTGTTAGTAGTATACAGCGGGACGTGGCATCAAAGTTGCAACAATTGTCAGACAGAGTAAAATTTTCAGTACATAGAAAGTATGGCGGTGGCAGGACACTGGGAACCTAGACGAGAAGACGGTTTACATCGAAAGATGCAAATGGGTGATTGAAGGCTATATATATTCGTTATTTAAATAATTTGTAACTTTTTATGTGAAGTACACCTTCCTCCTGTCGATTGCCCTCTCACAACAGAATGTGTTGAGATAAGATTTTACTGTTTAAAATTTTTTTCCGATTGAGACGTAGTTTTTGATAGACAATGAATAAAGGATGTTAAGTATAAAAAGTTACTAAACATAATAGTTACTAATTAACTGAATATTTAACTAACCCGACAATCTGAATGGCCACAAATAATGATGTCGTTAATTCTACATCGTATTAAAGTCAACTCTAAAAATCCTGGTGTAACACAATTTTTATTAAAATGTTCCAGTGAAGAATTTTCACAACAAATGAAATTTCCTGGATTTCTTTCGATAAATAATTCACCAACATTTGAGCATAAAAGTTTTGATGTTAAAACACGTGAATCGACACATGAGATGACAGCAGCTAATATCTGAAAATTAGGACACATAAATGAATTACATGAATAAAACATTTTTATATGTTTTTAGAAATGCGTAAACGGTTATAATCTTTTGGTTACCCACACTAACAATGTAACTAGATTAGTAGTGGTATTGTTGCTATTTGGATAATGAACACAGAACCGTATGAAACCGGTCAAAACTACTATTGGTTTTTGTTTTATCGTGCTTGTACTGTTAAAAACATACTACTGGTATCAAAGCCCTTCAACTGACAATTCTGATATATTAGAATTTGAAAGAATATCCTCCTTCGGTTATTTAGTTTTGATTGGATAGTTATGATAAGTAAACCTGTTCGTCACGCTAACGTACAGCCACGAAGTAAAGCCGATGCCTTTCAGTTATAACAATAGGGTGATTGAAAAAGCAGTGGAAAAATAAAAAGCGTCGGACAAACGTTTTGTCACATGATAAGCCTATAGTAATGCTGACTACTGACCCTATTTATACAATAAACTAACTTATTATCATGCATACCAGAACTTGTGGAAAAAATGCTATATCGAGACAATGCGTTCAGGAAATACACATTGTAATAGAGACTAGTCAATTATAGCCTTGAATAATAAGAACTGGAAATTATAAACTTTTTCTATTACTTCCTTGCTTGTTAAACAATTGAGTGTCTATTCTGACTCAGTATATCCGCCTGTAGCTCTTTTAGGTTTATTGCCAGTCGCAAGCCCGGGTAAAGGAAGAGGGTTGATTATAGGGTCAGCAACCACATCCCGTATAAAACAACCTTGCTAAAGAACGTTGACCAGAATAAACAATTTAAATAATTTAAACTCTGCCCTGGAAGTCGGAGGATTTCCTTTCAGAAGAATTATGACTCCTCATAGTGAAAGCTGAGATTCTCCGGACGTCACAAGGCCAATGCCCTTTCTAACAACCAGAGCAACAATCAATATAGGTGCAAAAAATGTCCGGACAGTGGAGTAGGCTGGGAGGACTTATCAAATAGCTATGAAAATGAAGAGATAGAACATAGCAGTTCTTGGAATAAGTGAAATCCATCGGACCCAAGTCGGACATAAAAGGTTAGATTCGGGAAAGATGCTGCTGCACTCTGTTTACGAATAAGAAAATGCTCCATACACTCGGGCAGTTACTCCGGTGCTGTTGAAAGAAGCATATAAACCACTTATAGGATGGAATCCCATGGATTCGGGATCATCAAAGCATCCTTCAAAACAAAGTAGGAGGGAATTACAATGAAGGTTATCTAGTGTTATGTACCTACCAATGTTAGCAATGAAGATGATAAAGACTAGTTTTACGAGAGGCTGCAACCAATCGTAAAGAAGTGCACGGGAAATAACCTGGCCATCGTGATGGGAGCCCTAAACACCAAAATTGGAATGGACAACACCGAATTTCAAGATATCGCTGGATGACAAGAACTGACTGGAAGAAAGGGACGAGAATAGTGAGAAATTTGCGAATTTCTTTGCACTCAACAAAACGGTTATATGCGGCACAATATTTCCAAACAAACACATACACAAAGCTACATGTATCTCACTGTATCGCACTACAGGGAACCAGATCGATAATAATTGTATCACTAAAAAAATCACAGGGTCAATGAAAGACTTGAAAACCAGGAGAGGAGCTGGCATAGCTAGCTTCAGATCACCACTGGTGGTTGTCAAGATGAAATTGAAGGTAGAAGAGAACTAGGCAACTGAAAAAATACAGTATTACAAAGGTTCAACACAGCCTCCCTTTGGCAAACTGACAAACGTAACCCATTTGAGATAACTCTCAACAACAGGTTCCAAGCCATACAGGATCTATTCAAAGAAGAAGGAACTACTATGGAGGATAAACCAGCTCCCAGCTGAAGAGGAAACTAGGAAAAGACGTTGGAGGTGGATAGAACATAAATTGAGGAAATCGCCAAATTGCATCACGAGGCAAGCGCTAACTTGGAATCCTGAAGTAAAGAGGAAAATAGGAAGAATAAAGAACACATTTAATCTTGAATTGGAAACAGACATCAATAAGATGAGTAGCAACTGGGAACAACTGGAAAGGATTGCCCAGGACGGAGTTCAATGGAGATTCCTGGTAGGTGGCTTGTGGTCCTACGCGAAGGGAGACAGGCATAAGTGAGTAAGTAATCTTTGGCAATAACTCTTTGATGTTTAAAACAATAGATATTCTATTCAGGTCCCAGTATAAACATCAAATCTCGGATGTAAATTCATCCGGCTGATGAATCTCAGATAGGGCAAAATTTACTTTCTGAATTTCACTATGTAAGCCGTATACCAAGCGTATTAGATTATTATTAATTATTTGAGAAAACTAAGATTAATTTACCAGAAGATTTAAAAAATATAATTGGTAAATTAGCTTACATTTGGCTTTTCGTTGAATGCTTTAAGTTGATCTAAAAAAGACTGCTTGTTAACATGAGATTTCAAAATTCTTAATAAAATTTGATTCATTCAGTGATGAAATCGAAAAACTGGTTTTTATCTACAGAAAAAGCAAAACAGGTTCAAAAAGTTATCAAATTCTTGTTAAATGGAATTCAACCGTTTAATTAGTTGAATGTAAATTAAACATATGAAAGTGAATATATGCATATACATATATATTCTTGTTTCTAATAAAACTGAAAAAAACTCATATCAGAGTGAAAGTGGTTGAGAAAATTTAAACACAGGATAATAAACCATCATCTCATCTCAAGTGATTCAGTTCAGATCTTAGAAGGAGCTCAAGATATGCATAAATGAAATTGAAAAAAGCAAACGTTGTGTAGTATATTTCGGATTTTTAGTGATTTTATTAATAAAATAAAAGATGTAAGCTTCTACTTAGTTAATTACGAGTAATTAATTCTCTGAGCACGAATTCAATGTGGAATACATTCAACTTTAATTCGGTTATCTTCTAATGTCCATTGTCAATACTTGTCACTCACCTGTCTTGAGCGGACTCTGTTGCTAATCATTTACTGATAGGATTTTGTGGATCATTATCAAGATTAGTCACCAATGGGCACGGTGATATGATTAAACTGGATGAAGTTTGGATATTGGTCTAATTTAAGTGTAGTTCATCTTACGGTTCCTCAAATTAATATAAGCGCATCAAGATAATTATTCTTTTTACTGAGGTCGATTTTATCATAGAACACATCGTTTACTATTTTCATGCTGTTTAGATAAACATAGATAATAATGGCTCTTTATGATGATATTATTGTAAGTGACGTCGCAAAATTACCAGGAGATTTATTTGTTCAATATATACCATCTATAGAAGAGTAGATATGTCCAATCTAGACTTTTATTTTTTTGATGATTACAATGTGAATAAACATATAATAGTCGGGTAAGGAAAATCTATGGATAACCAACTAAGTCAAACATATGAATAATCGTTATGTAGTATTTATTTGTAAAGTTAAAGAAGACTTCTGTTGGGATGCATTGAAATAAGCTGTTAGCGACAATGAGATTTAGTTGACACTGAAATGCGTAAAATCTATTCTGTTCAACTAAGCAATGATTCCAGTTTTGAAGGTATAGACCGCAGATAATCTTACTGAACTTTGATTCTTTTTGATCTTAAATAAGGCGAGAACTACCATAATTCCCGGTGTCGTTCTGTGTTTTTTACGTGTCAAAATGTTCTTTAATGGCTAGAAGGTAGATTGCATCATTTTTTAGCTGAAAACCTTTTAACCATACACAAAACATGGTTCCCACAAATATGAGAATATTTATTTCAAACAGTTTAACGCTCGACTAATTTATTTAGACTAAATAGGCAAACAAGTAAGGTTATACATTTGTACTCTACAATTAAAAAGGGTTAGCTATTCACAGTAACAGATCAAAAGGTGGAGATTACTTTCAATCGAACACCTACATCTAAATTTTTTATTAGGAAAGGACTAAGTAATAATCAAAGAATGGTTAAACTAGTTTAAACACAAGCTGGCAACATAAATGCAACTATCTAGACTCAAAGAAACTTATGAACACTATTTAATAGGAATCAGCCAAAATATGCGGTTCTCATAAAATCGTTTAATATTTATGTTTTTAATGGCTACTCGGTTTCCCCTGAGACGAACGATTTTATTTTACAATTTTTACAGTAAACAGTTAGATAATATTAGTAAATGTACAGAATATTGAGTTGAATGAAGTTACAATTAATATATACGGCTTATTAAATTTAATAATAAAGTGTTAGTGTCAGTCAATGTAAAATTATGACGGTAGGCATGAGAGATATTTATTGTCCCCAAATTTCTTATGATATAAGGACTAAAAGCTGTTTGTACTAATGAGAAGTTTTGTTATATTTTGTTTTAGCCAAATGTAATGATCACTCATGAGGATTTACGAAATTGAAATTTGCATTTGATGTGGAACCAAAAGCAAAACAGTAAACCTTTTACCAAACGACAGCTAAACATTAACTATAGACGTAAATATTGATTCACGGATTGATAAAGAATCACTGAAATAACTTACAATACAGCACTGAAAGGTAGTTTTAAATCAGTTTATCAGTTTATATTTCGTTAAAAAAAGTTGAAAAATCGACAATATTTTCAACATAAATTATGGAATTTAATAATAAAAAGAAATTTTGTTGTATTGTCTTTTCTAGGCCAGGTACAAGTAAGCGTCGATGATAGTATTGAGAACAGCAATGAAAACTTCATAAAGAGACTATCCAATTCAAAGAAAATAGCATCTATCTGAGTTACAAATCTTCACTATATCAGTAAAAAATTTAGTTAAAGGCTTAAACAATACTGTACACAAGTCGTTGCACTTCTACTGGAACTCAAATTTCTATTTATTTTGTATATCTTCCTCTAAGCTTTGAAATAAGGTATTTTTCAAAAGTGTCGCTCGATGTTGCAGCAAATGTTTGTTGGTTTCATACTATTGAAAGCGGATGCTGATAGATGAGAATCATCCATATTTAGTGATTAATACGTCCGTAATAAAGAATTGTTAAACATCCTGTAGAAATGCGGACCAACAATGAAATATACCAAGTAAAGCCAGAATTAGTTATAAACATGATTTTGAACTATCTAACAAATAGTGTTTTTCAAACTTGTCTGATATAAAGTAATAAAGAGTCTAACGAACTTAGACTTCATTTGTATTTCGTGTAGAGAGATTTACACATCACCTTTAGTTCATCATACAGACTTTTTGGCCCTTCACAAATATATGAATGAATTGAAGAATATTCAATTCCTAACCTTTGGTGCTTAGATTTCACTAGAAAAACTTCGTTCATGTTCCCAATAATGTGAACTTTCAGCCAACATAACCATACCACTTTATTTTTGAACAATCAAAGGTAAGTTGGCAACAACTTAAACAATAGTTTACATTTAGTAGTTAAGTAGATATCAATAAGCCTAATCTCGCATCAGTAGCTATGTTATGTGTTAATTTTAAATTTCTTAGTAAATTGTGTAGTTCTTCAATAAATCGTTTTATGATTGACATATTTTTAGATTTGTCCATAAAGCAGTTTATTTAGACAAACCAATAGGTTTTGTACAGGCAAGCAAATAAACACTTGAACACTAGTGCTAATGTATTTGAGAATAATTGGTTTAACTATCGGATATTTAAAGACGAAATCACTAGCAGAATAAGTGGTTTACTAGACGAACAACATACTTTTAAAATGTGCCGTAACCTACATTAATTTTTGGAGCCATGAAATGCAGATAATATCTGATAAATATCTTCAGAACATTTGAGGTTGATTTGAATAAAAAAGTTACAAAAACAATTTAATTCACAGAAACACGAAATATCATCTGACATACTGTATGTAATCTTATATTTCAACGTCGTTATTAACCTTTGATTCGTTTGCAGTTACTAGAACAACCACTGTGAGGATGATAGACTGATTCTATTCTGCCTTCAAACTACTACCCAAATCAATCTTTTTGAGAAAATATCATCGCTTCATTTGATTTTCTACTTTACGAAGTTAGAACGTACGAATATTAGTACTTGTACTTATTAAAAATCTCCATCCACCTATGATACTGATTTCAGATATTTGATTAGAAACATCAAATAAGTCATAAGGGTTTGGAATCCGACACGAAAATAAATGTTGAAAGCATATTTGATAGAATCTTTCTAAATTAAAGATCCACATATTACTTAAACTCATTAAAAAGATATTCGCTAATTGTAACTGATAACTAGCTTATAGAGGAATTCCTTTAAATAACAAATTAATCACACAACTTTACCGAGAACTCTTTCTAGGGAGAAAATGTACAAATTTTTGTCACTTGGTGTTAAAATTTCTATAGAATTAAGTACTGAGAGATTAGGGTAGACGTACCAAGACCTATCCATTCTTAATAGTTACATAAATTTGTTCTCGAAACAACGAATCGAAAACTTTTGAAACCTAGTTTACCTCACAAATAAGGATGTTTTCTTGATGTAATCATGCATCAAACATTGACAATTCATTTTTTTGTATGGTATTTGTTTCCTGAAATATAAGACTAGCAAACGTAAACGATAATCTGCTTATTGTTCTCAGTTGGGATGAGCACCCTAGGATCATATGATCAACTACTTAAGACGTAAAAGAGATCTTTTTATCAGGATTTCTTGAAAAACTTCTGTACAAAATTTTAATACAGTAACACGAACTCTGAATAGAATTTTCGGTACAGCATAGAACTGTGCTTCCTAAAACTTGGTAAGAAACAAATATGGTGACTTCGCTAACATGAGGACTAACCTTCGAGTTCAGAAATGTTACGTGGCAGTTTCTTTGCCAGTGACTTCATATAACAGCATATTGTTATTCTTTCTATACAAAATAACCTATAGGCTATAATAATAAGCAAATTTATTAATGTTCAATGGACCATTTGTATGCGTTGCTTGAAAGTTTGGGCACATTTATTGGTTATTTATAATAGATAGTAGTAAGATAACTACAGAAATATTTGTGACAATCTATCTACGTAGATAGATTACGTACATAACACGTAAGCCCTAAAAATAAATATCTCACAGGCTAATAACAGCCAAAAACTGAACTATATGAATAATAAAAGTTACGAATATGAATGACTTGGCCGAGTATTGTGAAATATCGACAAATATGAAGGATAAACAACAAATTTCTTAAGAATGGTGAAAACATATTCGTATTCCTCATCCCTTCTAAAAAAGAGCATGTTCTCAATCTTAAAAAACCATGAAAATGTGATGAGAGTATTTAATTTTAAAATTAATGGAGATCGATGAATTTACATGGTGAGACATCATGATGAACTAATTGGTGAGTGGTTAATGATGAGCATGTTCATATCACGTTTTGACATTATCAATGCAATGATAATCAATGTTGACGGGTCACGTTTGCTTAGTTATGAATATTTCACACTAACCAAGACGATTTCAAG